GATGCAATACTATATTTATTGAACTCGTTGAATAAAACAATATTATGCTCGCCAGAGGCTCGCATAATATGATTTTATTCAACTCGTTCAATAAATTTGGTATTAAACTACACTCATTCAATATCCTCTATTTAATACAATAAAACATGTGCATATGTATGTATTAACGTATTTCTTTTACATAGTATATATAATTTTCGAAAATAACTGGATCAAAAGATACATATGAGCCGCGTCACGACAAAACCAACATAATGCGTTTGCGACCAGAATAGATCCAGACCAGCCCGCTAAGATTGGTTTATGATTATGTAAATGTTTTACACTGTCATTTTCTGACAACATTAAAAGATCCCAGTATTTATTTATTATAAGACCAAGATGGGGAAGAGACCGATTATATGGGATAACAAATAGAATGAATTTTTGCTGCTCTGTGATATTTTCGTTATTTTCCAGAGCTTCTTCTTGGGTAGAATATTTTCCTTTTGCAAAAGCAAATTTTAGTTTGCTTTCAGGATAATTTCTGATCTTGGAAAAGAAGTCTAAATTTATAAGAGATTCGTGAAATTTATCATTGTCTGAAATGATACGTCTGCAACGTTTATAGCTTGGCTGTATGGTATACCCTCTTTACATTTATTTTGGTGGCATGAGTTATACTCCAGATATTGATGGACATCTGTAGGTTTTTCGATATATTATATTATAGTAGAAAGGAGAAGACCAAGAAGAAGAAGAAGCAGAAGAAGAAGAAGGAGAAGAAGGAAACGAAGAGGGAGAAGAAGAAGAAGAAACCTAAACATTCATACAACATGTAGAATGTTCTATCTGAGAAATTGCTTTATTGTATATGGAATAAAATCAGAGAGTTTATTGTACATTCAATAGCATCACCATTGGAATCATTATATGAATAATTTTTATCCAAGATTGTAAAGTAATTCGCTTTCATTATTAACAACTTAAGAAACAAAACAACAACAACGACGACAACAATAACAAACGAAGCAAATAATAGTAAACAACAACTAATTACGATATGGTGCCCAGCACACATTAGCGTACAATATAAACTAAATTAAGACCTTCTAGAAATGATATGGAGTTAAGACAACAACAACAAGAACGGCGGCGGCGGTGGCAACAACAACAACACCACAAAAAAACAAGCAACACCCCCCCCCAAAAAAAGAAAACAAAATAAACAAAACAAAAAAGGTAAATACGACTGACTCCCACGCCTAGGGATAAATTTGCACACGCGGAAAAAAACATTCATGAAATGATTGTTTTTATTCGTTTCGTTGAACAACAGGCTTTCAACGTGGAATATATAAAGCGCTTTACACGGGAACTAGGTTTGTAAAGATTTTTTTTAAGTTGTTGTTGTTTTTTCGCCGACTTTTACACATTTTGGTCATATCTTGTCGGTCGGTCCACCTTTACGGCTTTCCTGGATAATGATTTCTGTATCGGCGATGAGAAACAACTGACAGTCGAGATCAATTATCATGCAGCCATTTTGCCCCGGCCAAGAACCAACCCCCTACACCTGGATACAAATCCGATGCCCTCCCTAATCGGACTGACAAAAGAGTCTCATTCTGAAGACGTGTTTGTTATTTTAGCGGAGAAACACGCGACCCCTGGATTGTAGACAAATAGTTTCATCACCGTACTACTGTTCTAAGCACCGGAACAAATCGTATAAGCGAGCTTAAAGCGAGTCTCTATGTTGATAAATGAAGTCATTCGAAGCAACTCGTCGAATACAAAAAAGATATAATAATAATAATAATAATAATAATAATAATAATAATAATAATAATATTTATAACTATAATAAAAACCAAAAAAACGAGGTTTAACGAAAAAGACCGAAATATTGCTATTGAACTGAGGTTACGACTGAACAAAATGGTGCTAACTTTTTCTATGTACATTACTCAGGGTTGCTTGCATTTTTGGGTAGCCATCTAGCTGTTATCAATTTTGGGTAGTGGCCTTGATTCGTTTAGATGATAAATATACGCATGGACTGATGGTTTTATATTATAAACTTTGGATTTCTATTTACAATAAATTTTAAATCTGGAACGGTGATTTACAATAACTGCAAGTGAAAATGTCTAAAATAACTAGAACGCTTAGGTCAACGAGTATCCAGTTCAAATTTATTACCTAAAATAGAATAGGTTTATTTTATGTCATGGGTATAGCTATTATCAATAAAACTGCTTTTTTTGCAATGATTAGTATATTTTTAATGATGACAAAATTTATTTATACCCGCTCAACGTGCATCTTTAAATAGCACCATATTTAGGTATGCCATTTCCGATTCTCGCGTTTCAACACACGCAGAAAGATTGAACGTCGGTAAGCTAAATTTCCAACAGCTTTTAGCCGTTTGATGCATACGGTGTCCCGTCAGGGCTATCGCGACACACACATAACTCGAAACAACAAAGACACGACATTACGATGGTGAAAAGTCGAAATAACGAAATTACGATGTCGAAAGTCAAAAGTACGATGATAAAAAGTTAAACGTACCAGGGTGTTTTCGTTGTTGCATCATTAAAAATGTTCACCATCGTACTTTCGATTTCTCATCATCGTATTTTCGATTTAAATTCATCATCGTGATATCGTATTTCCACCTTCGTACTTCCGACTTTTCATCATCGTGATTTCGACTTTTCATCATCGTGGTTTCTACTTTTCATCATCGTGGTTTCATATTTTCACAATCGTTCCTTCGACATTATTGTTGAAAAAAAAAATAAATAAAGAATAAAAAAGAATAAAAGTATTATGAAAGTGCTTGGCTCAGAGAGGATCTCGGAAAATTGATCGTAAACCACTAAACTTTTTCCAGACATCTGTATTCGTTATATATCGTATTTTTCTTATTTCACACCCCGTAATTTTTTCTTGCATAAAAATTAGGGATGGCAACGAATACCCAAATTAATACTCGAGTACTCGGTCATTTTTCCGATCGAGTACTCGGTTACTCGGAAGATTTCCAATGATCTTCAAAGTTTATCACACAATATCAACACCGTCCGCATGCTACTTTCGTTTTCTATTTACATTCATAGAATTTGTAACTATAGATAGACAAAGGAGACAAATTAATTAAAATTAAATCAACGACATTATATTTTAGAAATATTTATTTAAAGAAATATAAATAAGGAAATAAACAATTAATCTGTGGTAAACATTGAAAAGTTGGGGGTTTCTTATAAAAGGCGTTTATTATCAGATTTCTACGATCACCGGGAACAAAGGAAAATTTTTCAACAAAATATAAAAAAAACAACCACAAAACAAAACAAAAAATAAAACAACCCCAAAACAACCCAAAGAACCCATTTTTAAAAACAAAAATAAACGCCCCGCCTAAAACCTCCCCACAAACAAAACAAAAAACAAACCCCCCAAAACAACAATTTTTGGGGGGCGAAAATGTAACAATTGTTTGGGGTAACACATTTGTAAAAACAAAACAAAATGGTTTAGATTTGTTTAAAATCTTAAAACATAAAATATTTTTTTTCAATGTATTTTTTTAAACCCCAAATGAAATACAATTTTGGAAATTTTTAAAATAATTTAAAGTTTTTGAGTTAAATTAATTAAATATAAAGTTTCTGAATAAAATAATTTAAAGTTTCTTATCAAAATAATATAAAGTTTTTTATTTAAATAAACTAATGTTTGGTATTTAAGTAATCTAAGTTTCTGATTTAAATAACCTAAAATGTCTGATTTAAATAATTCAAAGTTTCTTAATTAAATAACCTAAAGTTTCTTATTTAGATAACCTAACGTTTCTTATTTAAATAATCTAAATTTCTTATTTATATAATCCTAAAGTTTCTTATTTAGATAACCTAAAGTTTCTTATTTAAATAATCTAAATTTCTTATTTATATAATCCTAAGTTTCTTATTTAAACAATTTAAAGTTTCATATCTAAATAATACATGTAATAAAAATAATAATAATAATAATAATATAATAACAATAATAATAATAATAATAATAAAGAAATAATAATAATAATAAGAAGAAGACGATGACGAAGAAGAGGACGTCGAAGAAGAAGTAATAAAAGGAAAAGATGAAAATAGCATAGAATAACTAAAACTCATTTTGAAGAGTTGCCGATTCACAGGTTTCCAGATGAAAAATCCTCTGGGGTTTCTTTTTTTCTATGTTTTAATTTTCACACAAATATTATCTTTGAAATACAAATTCCCATCATTTTTGTACATATTTTTTTGAAAGGAAAGCAAATTAAATCAAAACCAGGAAAATATAATACAGATAACAAACTTATCCGGGTTCAAAATGTCAATTATATATTGCGCCTTTTTAAAACATCCTGGACCATTGAGGTCCTGTCTCTCTCTCTATACTGCCAATCACTGAATCAATTTTGTATACTTATGAGTATATTATGTTATTGGGTTATTATACATATTTGACTACAATATAAAAAATAGAATTTTAAATACTCTTAACAAGTCCGATATTATATTCTTCAATGTTAAAGGGACTGCAGGACTGAGGTTTTCTTTTCATGAGGTGAAAACTTGCCCAATAACTTGTCTGCAAAATTTTAGGTCATTCGCTCACTCCGTTTTTCCAAAATAGTTTTATGTAGTAAAAAACCCATTTCGTCATCAAACTAATATAAATGAAAGCTATTCACTTTCAGTCAAAGCAGATCAAAAGTTAACATTTACTTTGATTTCAATTGTTTGTCAATTGTTTATTTGTGTATTTAATTAATGATTCATTAATAAACAAATGAATTAACAATATAACCACTTACGAAAACTAAGTACTTTAAAAGCGAACAAATAGAAGCTGCCTACTTAATTTGTGAGCTACCGCCTTTCAATACAATAAGGAAGTTTTTACATCTTTGACATAACGATAAAGTATTTTTTGTTGTTAAGATAAGCGTTATTCCGGTGATACAGACAAACAAGCATTACGTTTTCACGCGGAAGAAAATTTCAAGCGATTAAAGGTTAAAAGCTACATTCCCATTGATACTTTATGATGAAAATACTGATAATTACACACGTAAACAACAACAAATATAAATAAATAAATAAGATATCTGAATATCTCATCATATTATAACATCTCTCGAAGCATTTAAGATTTGCTTGCTGAAATGGATTCGGACGACATTAGCACAAACGAAGAGTTAGCAAGACAATTAAACGATGATTTTCGAGAAGCTGTTTTACCAGTGACCGTTTTTGTGGGAATTGAGGTCGTAGTTGGGTTCTTTGGAAACTTGCTGGTGATTTATGTGTTCTTATTTCACTATCATGTCTGCAACTTTCGGTATTTCGTGCTTTGTATGGCGTTTGTGGACTTTACAAGCAGTTTGACGACAATGCCTGGAGAAATGTTAACGCAGATGAACTGGTATATATACCCGTATAGATTAATCTGTAAGATCAAGTCTTTCTTCAATGTATTTACAGTTACTGCAGAAGCCTTGTGCCTTCTTACGATCGCCTTGGACCGCTACAGAAAAGTGTGTACACCTTTTGGATGGCAGATACGACCGAAAATTGCTATATTTTTGTGCGGTGTCATTTATGCTGTTTCATTCATCATAGCGTTACCAGTTGCCTTCTTTTGGGGAATACACAACGCCGAGCAGGAATATAAGAATCGAACAATTACAATAACAGTGTGTGAAAAGGACGAGCAATATACTGGGACAGACCATCCGTTAAGATACTCTTTAGCAGTTGAAGGTATAATTTCAGTTTGCCTCGTTTTGATGTTCGTTCTATACATATTTGTAACAAGAAAACTTGTTTCTGGAAAAGGAAATGCTGGTGGAAAACCTAAAGTTATTGTAACTTTGTCTTCAACTCAGACCGGTGCTTCTTCAGATGTCAACATGAAGAATGACATCGAGCTTAGTTCAAGACAAGAAACTAGTGATGCCGGGTATTCGTCAGGAGTTGAAAACAAACCAAAGAAAACTAAGTTTAATTATATCTCGTCAGATGGAGGTCTAACAACAGACGAAGAGGAAGACTCTTCAAGCCGGATTGCAACTCTCAGAGTTCCCGGATTAAATTTTGCCAATTCCAAAACTGACAAAGAACGCTCGAATACTACCAAATCTCACGCGCTAAGACGGAAGCGATCTGTTGGTTTGCGCGTGCGCAGAAAGACAAAGATAATGGTAATACTAACAGTTTCATTCATCATAACTACTATTTTGTACTTGACGCTTCTGTCGTTTATTGCTGAAAACATTTTGAAAGACTTGAGTGGTGGATTGAAAGCAGTTTATTTCTTCTTTTTTCGGCTGTACTTTATAAATCACGTTATAAATCCGATCATATATGGAGTTCTTGATCCTCATTTCAAAAAAGTGATGATGAAGCTAAAACACAGAATATGTGGTTGAAAAGGAAAATAAAATCATTATAAAACTCGGAATTTTCGGACAGAAAGACTTAATTAATGGGATTTTATATTTCATGGTAAAATATTTAAAATATCCGAAACCGTTAAATTAATGAAATATTAAAAAAGATATGTATGTTTATGTATTTGAATTTTACTATTTGCAACAATAAAGAAAAAACAATGAAAGGGTATAAATCGCGTATTAACTTTACTGTATTGCGTGCCTTGTTTGTGTGTGTGTGTTTGTGTGTATGTGTGTTTATTAATATATATATATAAACGCCACCGGTTGCCAATATTGGCGAGTCTTCCAGAAGAGTATTAGTCATTTTAGATTTTGGAGGATAGTGCAAGATACAGATATTGAAAGATGCTCCAATTCCAGAAGCTTCTCCTGGTTCTTTAGCGTGCCAAGTCTTAAAGCGCTCAAACAAGAGACCTCGATTTGAAGTTTCATTCAATTGAAAGACTGATCAGTAATCTTAGTTGGAAAACCTGGGTATCGAACAGTCTCGCGCTCTTACCGATAACGCTATGCGGACTGTCTACATGCCTTCTTACCCGGTGCGCATTACAAAAGAATACCGCGTGACCAAAATATGGTGACATTGTTTTATACTTCGAGGAAGGAAATCAAACTTTATTGTTGTACTGTGAAAAATAAAACCATGTAGAGATAACACACAGTCTTCATTGCTGTCAGCACAGACGCTTTGTAAGATTATTTGTTACTAGTCTGTTTTCGTTGAATTCTACTAAATAAATGAATAAATGAATGAATGAGTGAATAAATAAATAAATAAATAAATAAATAATAAATAAATAGATAAATAAATAAATTGATAGATTGATAGATCTTTTAGTTGGTGTTTTTTTTCGCCGTACCAGCAAAGAATAGGTCATATGGCGACTTTTAAGCTTTACTGGTGGAGGAAGACCTCGGTGCCCCTCTGTGCGTTATTTCAGACACAAAAGTGCATCTGAGTAGAACCACCGACTTTCGTACCGACTTTCCGTAAGCTAGCTGGATAGCCTCTAAACATAAAATAATCCAAGGTCTCTGGTGGAAACGAATCTAAAGTGGTAAAGGACATGTAATTTCAAATCAACGGCCTTAACCAATAGACCACGGATACATACATAATTTACATAGATTAAGAAATAACAAAAATAAATAAACTCATACCGAAACAATAAAAAAACCAAGCCCCAAACAAACATTGTTTGGAGTAATTCGAATTTTAAGTGTTTTTTATTTTTTAGGAAAACCCTCGCTAGATTGACCGACTTGACTGGTGGTGGCAATTTTACTGAAATGATTGAAGTGTCTGATGCAAGGACATGGTTTATACTGATTCATTAAATGGACAGACCAATTGATGCGGACAAATAAAAAATATAACAGATTTAAAAAACTACAACATATAACAGATACACACACACAAAACAACAACAACAAATAACAAATATAAAAAAAACATAACAGATAATAAAACATAACATATATAAAACATATAACAGATACAAAATATAAGATAATGACAACAATATATAACAAATATAAAAAAACGTATAAAATATCACAACATGCCAGACAACTATACCAGTATTAATGACAACTGACTAGAATATCTAAACTTGGCCTTCCCTTTTATTTAGTTATACCCATTGCTTTCTGATTTAGGATAATTGTTCATAAGTATATCTTCACTTGCAGGACCAGACATCGAGTTTTCATTTAATGTACACACGTAACATTATCACTAATGTTTCCATGATAACTACTGTACGAACACATACTGCCTCCGTGGTCGAGGGGTTAGAGTCGGTGACTTCGAATCCAGTTACCTCTGTGGCGTGGGTTCGATCCCCGGGAGATGCTTTTGGTAGTTTAGCGCCGAGGAAGGTAGTCTAGTACTGGTGTAGCTCTCCAGGAACGGTAGTTAGGAAACTACCCGCCTATATCATGTATATGACTGAAATACTGTTGGAAAAAGGCGTAAAATGAAACAAACAAACAAACAAATACGAACACATCTAAGTATGATCACTGTCTGGTACGTGTTACGGTGCTTCCATCCAAGATAAACAACAAGAAGGAACCTGCCATTTTATTATCTAGATATTTATACAAATTATGCATGTATAGTAAAAAAAACATTTAGTAAAAGAACATAGTTGCACATAACGTAAACATAAATTCACTATAAAATCAAAAGGTTCACCATGTGTGTTACATATGATATATAATAATTATTTACTAAAGTCTTTGGTGTGGTGGATAAATGCACTTGAAATTCGAACCGAGAGAAGTGGTAAATATTTGTGTCAATCTCTTAACAAGAGGTACTTATAATGAAGTGAATACACTTGTTTATTACAGTACATACGTATTAAATCATCTGTGCAATTTCAACATGTTTTCTCATAATTTCTGTGAAGTTATTTTGTTGAAATCTGTCAACTTTTTGTTTCGTCTCGACAACGGTGCAAACACCTAGCAACGGTGCGGACTTTCCGTAAAATATAATACGGTGCTGCAAAATTAGACAAAGGCACATACATCTATAACAAAAAGTAAACGTTTTTTTATAGTTGTAACATTAAGTTATCAAAAATAATACAAAAATATTCTTTTTTATCAGAAATTTATATATCATATTATGCTGTTCCCCCTCTCTTTTCAGTAACACAACGGGAGAAGTAAACGTGTGTTACTGTTGTCAATTTTCATGTGTATCTTCCAGAGTGCATAACTCACTTAGTTGATCAGCATAACCATCTGCAACTTAAATTGCGCACCAGAACATTAACAAACACAAGATTTTGAAGTCGTGCCAAATTTAGAGCTGCAAACTGGGCAATAACCTTATTGTTGTTTATTGTTCCTACATCTTGGATAGAAGCACCGTAACAGACAGTAATGTTACCTTATGGTGAAAATCCGAAAACTGTCTATTAAGTGAGGGAATGGAAAGATCGAGGCGCTGTGCCAAGATTTGTTTATTCTCTCACATAATGGACAGTTCGAGGAGTTTCTTATACTTAAAATATGTTCTCTACTTTCTTAATCAATCCATGCATTCCATTAAAAATATATATATTAAGTAAAAAGCATGACTACCATCAATTACTGTCTTGTTTTGTGTATACGTTCAGGAATATTAAAACATTATTATAGGTTAAGTCAATAGCTTGAGTTAATCAGGGGAAATAATATAATGAAGACTACAATTCACCAGCAATAACAATTGTTGCACATGGTCTATTGCATAAGTTAATAACATAGTGCCAGGAACAAAGTGTTAATCTATGTATAATTTATAATCGTACAATGTATATACTTGGTTGCAGTACATGATCACTTCTTTTTCGAAATTAAAAAAAAGATATGTTTTACTTCGTCTGTGTTATACTAACACAATTGATATAATATTAATGCATGTATATATATTATATGATATAATATAATATTAAGTCATCAAAAGTCATGTGTTACTTTCATTAAATAATAATAAATGCATACATCTATGCAGAATTATTCATGTATTGTATTTGTGGAAGACGCTTTTCGGAAAGACAATGCTTGTTAAATGGCATGATTATTAAAGGCACATTATGCCTCAGAAATCCATATTTTGAATACTCTAGAAATGCCAAATTATTGACTAGTGTACAAGTGAATATGATGATATATTCACCGGCAGATGACATATTGACCGATTAGTCAATAATTGTTTTATTATATAAAGAGGCTATAACAATTTTAAAATAATCACACAAAGTACATTCTTATACATGTACAACTTTCATATACAACTGTACAGCATTTCGTTGAAGCGCGGGAAAAAGACGCAAGTGCTAGATATTCAACAAATATGCGAACGCTGCGCATACAAAGTAATATACTTATACTCATCATTGCGGTGTAACCTTTATTTATAATAGTCAAGTAGTGATATTTTAATCGAGAAATATGTCATAAAAACAAAACCCAACAATTATGTTTTAATAAGCACGCGTAATTAACAGTCTTACGATATATAGTCATTGAATATGAGTCTCAATATATTTTTAGACTGGGATACTTCTATAAAAAGTTCCATTGACTACTGTTTGGACCAATGAGACTGCAGCTATATTTAGATCATATAATAATTTTTTTTAGTACTTGATTTAGAGCATGTTAGATATGCAGCAGAAAAAAGTAGCGCTAATCATAAACTGGTTTGTCGTAAAGGTAGAAAATGTAAACGAAGTAGTATTTTGACTTTCATACAAAATAAAAATTCGTGGTAAAGTATGTACCATTTGCAAACAGAACAAAAAACAAGCAAAAGATAGTTTAATTATGTATATGACAAATTAGTATTGTGTGGAAACTGTGACAAAATATTAAGGATAGAAGGTTTTTGAGAAATATAAATTATAGAATTTCTAAGGCACACACAAACTCATGTTAAGGTTTATTGATTTTCAAAACGTTTTCAACAAAGTATGTACACAATATCAACTATAGCGTCACGTATAAAAAGTGAACGATATTTTTTTCTGTCTTTTCCAAGAAACCTACTTTTATATATTTTAAGTAGTAATTACTTTTATTGCAATTTATTGGCTTGACATCGCCACTAATCTTATTAATCTTAGTGCTCTGTTTTTATAAAAAATGAAATGTATCAAAATACTTAAAGGGAATATGCCATTTTCGAGGTGCACATATTTTGGTCCATCCTGAAAAATACAAATAACAACAACAACAACAACAACAACAGCAACAACAAAAAAAAGTCCAACAACATAATTGAAAAAATTGAAGAATGCCGATATATGACAGAGTGCGATTCAAACAATATAATTTCTAAGCCGTACAACGAGGACAAATTCATTTAATTAACACATTGTCATTAAACTTATTCCATTGCTTAAAAAATGTATAAAACGCTATATATAGATAATAAGCATGGGTCGAAAGCAAATTCGATGGGAAACAAGTCCTTCCGTCATTAGATACATATCTTTCTTAAAACAGTCCTAAACTGAGAGATTGTTTACTGTTATATATCAATGCTAAAGCTTATAAAAAATATTTTCAGCCGTCGAAATACACTTTATTCAATACACAATATAATTTTCCTATATAAGGCGTATATCTCACTAATTTGTCATTTGTTAACAAAACTCAATATTTCCTGTGTTTTGATATAACAAAATAGCATACCAAACAAGTTTGCAAAACATCTAGACATGTCCCTAAATGGATCTGAAATAGACAATGGCCATGTGGTATTGTACTACTTTGTTTATGTTATTATGACTTACATTATATACGTGCTTCCGCTCTTGCTGATAATAAAGGCGTAGATTTTAAAACAGAAGAAACATTTAAGATAATTAAATTAAGGTCAGAAAGGATTGATTATCAGCGAAAATAGTATGGTTCAATATTATATAAACTATAGCGCAAGTAAGCAATTAAGATACAAGCTATTATATCACAAAGTATAAACCAGTGGACACATTTGTTGTTTTTAGAGAGGAAAATAAGAAAACATGGATCGGGATGAATGACACAAATGAAGATAAGCGGGGAAATTTAAACGATGATTTCGAGAACTGTTTTCCCAGTGATTTTTGGGGGAATTGAATCGATTTGGGTTTTTGGAAATTTGGGTGATTTATGTTTCTTTTTTAAATTATCATTTTCCCAACTTCGGTATTTCTCAAAATCTGACTTAGTAACTTAGATATTTGCCTCTGAACATTAACTTACAAATGATAGAGTGACAATCAGTTTATAAATAGCAGAAAGCTGTTTTTAAGTAAAAGCTTAAAATATCTCATGGCTACAGTGCAAGTAGAGTTATGAATTTATTCATTTCAGATTTTTTTTATAATTTAGGTAATATTAGGATATTCTATCTCATGAAGGGGTACCCCACATGATGAATGCAAACACTTGTGCAAATATAACTTAACATTTGTATGCGAGCTTTATTATTGATAGAGCTATTAATACACTCGGGATTTTTAGAAATCGAAGTTAAAAAAATTACAAATTGCCTTTTTCCGAGTTTTAATTATGATTCCAATCAATGAATCATTTCTTAATGCCTTGCACGAAAATTTTGATTATTTACACCGTTTTTGAACACTTTTTTAAGACTGAACTAATAAAATTTACAAGTTTGAAACAGTCCGCACAAATCCTTCGTAAAATACATAAATCTGGCAATGTTCATAAAATGTTGCTCCTTATAAAATTACTTTCTTAAAGAGGACAGAACTCATTCAGTTAAATAAGTCATATAGTTATGTGAATGGAACAGAAGAGGGACTTTCAGTCATAATGTTTTTTTTGCTCACTATTACACTCAGGATGCAATTCATTACACGAACATAATTGCGTTCTAAGATCAACCCAGGTCAAAAGCCTTAAATATAAAATTCGAAAAACTTACACATATCCATACCAATTGACAATCGATATTAAAAACGGTTCTGAAATCAAGCTAAGGACAGTTAAAATGTTTTCATTTTTTGACTTATTTCCATAATGAATATTGTTATTTTGGAAAAAGGGAGTGAGCGATTGTCTCAAATTTTTGTACAGAAAATATTTCTATAGACCTACGACAATGTAATAAATCACGAACAATATTTCTAATCCGATCATGTCTGAAAGCCTCATTGGAGTCCCCTTTATATAGATATTTTAAGTGAAACATATTTCAACGCAGATCAAACTTCTGAAGAACACACATTTAAGTTCGATAGTACGTAAGCTTAATCAATTGCGTAATCACAGTCCATATTACCAAAACGTTCCGAATGACCTCCAAACGTTTCCGTTATCTCTTTTTGTTATCTCTGACAAATGCTAAATATCAATATTTCATTTATAAAACTTAGTGAAAACAATCAAGGACAATGGACTATTTGACAGTAAAACTATTTGTAAGTAATGTCCTAATTTAAACTGAAGTCATTTAGTTTTAATATTTACGTCAGTATTTAAAGAATATAAAATACTTTCTTAAGTACAACATCTTATAGGACTCTTTAAATTTCCCTTTTTGTTAAGACTATTATTTATTTTATATTTGAAGTAGTTTTTATATTTATCCTTTACCCTGCTGTCGGCAACTGAGTCTACACCAATGCGACCAGTTCTGACCAAGAATAGCCGGCACATCCAATCCATCTGACAATGTTCGCTTTTCAGTCGGTACATGACCTGACATTTTTCCAATAATTGATAATTGGTAATGTGATTTACAGCTTGAGATATTGAGCGTTTTAAGGGTTAAGAAAAGTCTTAACTGGATTAATTTGTATTGAACCAATCATGTATACATAAGAATGAAAAAAAAATGAATCAATGAACAAATAATAAAATATATATATAAAAAAATGAATAAATGAGAAAATGATTTCGAAACAATTATTGGTTTTTTACTTTATTATAACATGATTTTAAATGTTCCTGTAAGTCACGTTATATTTTAAAGTGACATTATGCCCATATAAAAGTATATAGTGAGTGAACAGGTGAGAGTCAACATAAATTTTCATCATTCCTTTGTATTTAATAATTTATTTCGCATTTACAATAACTAACAACCGGATTCGAACGAAATTTCAGTGCATATCATTTAGAATTTACTTGTAACGTTCAATTTATAAAAGAGTGGGCGGTATTTTTTTATATTTTAGGCAGATTTTAAAGTTTATCCTAAACATTTTCCAATATAAACTGTTGATCAAACATCATTTAAATAGTCAATCTTTTGAAATTTTTAGTTAATTCAGCTCAACTTGACAATGAAAATATGAGCATAATGTCACTTTAGAGAATATATTTTTAATATCAAATAGGGTTTCGGCATGCTCAAACTGCTAGATAGCTAGATTACGAAAAGTTTAAATACTACTGAATGTTAGAATAAGTGAAATAAAATATTTTTCGTATCTCAGCTGAACGCAGCAGTTGTTTGTTTGGTCAATGGACAAACAGATAGAAATTGTACGAGTACATGTAAGTAAACAAATACCACCTTAAAGATCCTGTAACACAATTTTTTATGGTTTTATATAAAAAATATTATGCTTAAATAAAGATTTATCAATATTGTAGGTTCCAAAAAGCATTATTTGTAATTAAAAGATATTACCGAATTTACATTTTTTATGTTAATAAAGGGAGGTAATTAGAAGTTAATTTCCTATAACGTCCCAGTCTAACTTTTCAATAGAAAATGAATGCATATATTTTAATGATTACATAATGTGGACTAATATTGACTGTACGTATTTTACATATTCTTTGATGTTTGAAAATTGTTTTAGAAGCACAATTATATGCATAATATATTAAACAAAATTTCACTTAAGTGTGGTAACAACAGTTAGAACAACATACAGGATCTTTAAGTTGACAGATTCACTCTTTTTACATGCACGTTATTAAAGCAATATCAAGCATGTAACTTTCTATCAAAATTAAATCCCATTTATAGTGTAACTCAATTTGTAATTTTACAAAAATGAATGTAGATATTGTAAATCAAGCCTCTTGATTTCGAAATTATTCACGAATATTTCTTTTAACCGGTCAACAACATCAATTATAAAAAAATATGTGTACATGAATCATATCATAGAATAAAATACGAATACATGGTGCCAACACTATTTAAAGTAATTCTTAATGTCATTTCAATATTTACTGGAAAGCTTTTTTAGTATGTGAATGGTTATTATGAGCAATGATCAGTAAAATCTTATTTTCTATTTCAAAAGCTTCAACCGGAAAGCACTTCATGATTGCGGTGCCAGAAAGTAGCACGAGACCAGATAAAATTGTTTTTCACATAACCTCTGCTGTAAACAAGACAAAATGCACCATCAAAGCACCGGATGTACATTTTGTTCAAACCTACACCTTTGAAAGTTATATTCAAGTTAACTTGTCCTACAGAATAATGCAAGTTACTTCTTCATCGTCCTTGACCGCCAGAAAAGGAATAAAAATAAGTTGTGACCACGCATGCGCTGTACATGTTTTACCACACCATTCCAATGATGCAGTGGAAGGCTTTCTTGCACTTCCGGTTAACGCCTTAGGTACAAGATATGTTATTGCATCTTACACACCGTACCAATCCAGTACACCTAGCGAATTTGTACTAGCAGTTGTAGAAAATAATACAAAAATTCAACTGTCTAAGAAAATATACTATAACGGATATAGCAATAGTTCTTTAACATTGAACGAATTCGACACATATATTTACAAGAACTCACGTGACCTGAGCGATTCAATGATTTCTAGTGATAAACCTATATCCGTCTTCTCAGCGGCTAGCGCTAGCCAAATCCCATATGGCACAGGGGATTATCAATACATCGTAGAACAGATGATTCCAACCGAGTTTTGGGCGAAGACCTATATTGTTCCACATATTTATCCTAGAAAGTATAGTATGTATCGTATTTATGGTACTGAGTACAATACGTCAGTTACACGTCACAATGGTAAAATTACCGGATCTACTGTAATCAAGTCAAAGCATTTTGAAAACATGGCGTCTGATACAACTGTGATTATAGCTGATAAAGCTATCAGTGTAATACAATATGGTTATGATGACGATGATATGGATGGGGACCCGTTCATGACGACAGTTCAAGCAGTATCTCAATTTCAAAATTCTTACAAATTTGTGACAGATTTTGATAAAATGAGTTCTTCACGATGGCCGGTCACACTTGTTATTACCGCTCGCACTACAGACATTTCCGAAATTCTTCTGGACGGAAGTAACTCTTATATTCAAGCACATAGTCACATAATGTCTGTGCCTCCTCCAATGGCTGACTTCAGTGTCTACTACATCAATATGACTTATAACGTCTTTGGAAGTTTCCATACATTACGTCACGCATCCGGGAAGCCTTTTGGTGCAACTATCTATAGTTTACCAGGAACTGCTGCTGCTTATGGATATCCATTAAAATTCGCCCTGAAAGATCAAGGTTAGTAAACAGTTTGATAAACATATATATGATGTATGAAAAGAACATGGTACCGCTTGTATTTTTTCTTTATATATAGACTGAATTTCCCAGTCATTTTGCTTCTGAGTTTGAAAAATATCTCCTCTTTTATTATTTTAAAAATTTACTCTTTCTTTATATTTGCTAGGATCAATGGTAGAAAATGTATAATAAAACACCTAAAGTAATAGCCCAATGTTCAAATATTACTTTGTATCTTAAGCGATACGAATAAAGAATAAACTGAAAAAGCGTTTGATTTTTTAAGTTTGTCAAATTCCAACAACCACGTCAACAACAACGACGACGACAACAACAACAACAACAACTACTACAACGACCTCTCCTCCGACAACAAAGCCAACGACGACGACGATAACAACAATAGCTATATTTGCAACAACAACATCGGAAGAACAAGTTATTCATAATACTACACAAAGCACAGGTGATTATATTATATAATATAGAAAATAAGAATTCCTAAAGAACATTCCCAACGGCAATATTAAAATATAATTTTCGTGAACGGTACTGAAGTGTACTTATCAAATTTTGCTAAACACCAAACGTTTCTCACTATATATTGAAAAGTATAAGAAGGATTCAGTTATTTATTTTGCATAGTTTGATTCCAAAATGATTTGAGAAACAAAGATGCATGTACCCTCGTTTTTCTCTTTTTTAATTTGGGCAGAGGCAAATAACACGGTCATTCAAAGGTTAGATATTTTATATATTGGTCAAATTGACATTGCAAACGCTATAAAGTACATAATATGACGGTATTTTAGAAAGGCTATGAATGATCCTGGAGCAGGGGGCAGGCACTTTGAGGTTGATGTGGAACTTTGAGTATACCATAAGCTGGGCAAGGTATTACGGACGTAAAGAGAGGTAACGACAGCAACTCAAGACATGTTCTTGATTAAACCAATCCGCCGAGGATGGTTAGCAATAGTTACTCATGTTTGTAATGACCCTTTTAATTTTCTGAGGCCAATGTTTGTACTATATTATGCATAGATTGTTTCAAGAGGATAATCTGCGATCAAAAAGAATATTGCTGAGCACGATCGCGACGTGGTAGATGTTGGGATTATTTATGGTGTGAGATTGTATGAGCTGGGACAGACGGACTGACCTCATTTTGCTAAAAAGAGACAGGTTAGCGAGACATACACGTTATGTTTGACACACAAATAAGACTGTTTACCGGAGCAGTGGACGAACGATCATTTCATTTTAATTGACGATAATGCGCCACCTGACATGACCTAAATGCCCCGGAACTACTAGCAGAGGGAAGGCATTGGGCGCCTTGACTGGCATGGTCTGTCACATGACTTAAATCCAATGAAGCACATGTGCCATGACCTACAGGTACGGCTATCGTCTTAACTGGCACAACCCGCAAACAGCCAGGAGTTTGAGACCAAGTTGATGCAGGAAAGGTCAGACACTTCAAAGTGTGCATGATATGTAGTTGCCACGCAGTTATCTTGAGTAATGAACCACACCCATGCTATTGGGTCAAATTGTGCAAATTTGGAAAACAAGTTGCGTGTCCAATATTGGATACAGGGTCTTCCTCTACTGTAAAACATAACCAAAAAGCAAAATCAGTAAACTTTTAATTTTGTCCTTCAATCCTGTCCTGTCCTGTGACCTAGTTTTTATCCGGATATAACCCATCTTTGAACTTGACCTAGAAATCATCAAAACAAACTTCCTGACAAATTTGCAGAATATTTGAACCATAACTGCAGCCAGTAGAGTGTTAACAATTTTTTCTATTTACAGCTCCTTTGACCTAGTTTTTGATCGGAAATAACCCATCTTCGAACTTGACCAAGAAGTTATCAAAACAATCTTCCTGACAAATTTATAGAATATTTGGATCAAAACTGCAGCCACTAGAGTGTTTACAAACTTTTTCTATTTTTAGCTCCTGTGACCTAGTTTTTGACCGGAGATGACCAATCTTTGAGTTTGACCTAGAAATCATCAACACAACCTTCCTGACAAATTTCAAGAATATCTGGATCAAAACTGCAGCCACTAGAGTGTTAACAAGCTTTTTCTATTTTTTAGCTCCTGGGACCTAGTTTTTGACGGGAAATAACCCATCTTCGAACTTGATCTAGAAATTATCAAAACAACCTTCCTGACAAATTTCAAGAATATTTGGATCAAAACTGCAGCCAGTAGAGTGTTAACAAACTATTTTATTTTTAGCTCCTGTGACCTAGTTTTTGACCGGAGATGACCCATCTTTGAACTTGACCTAGAAATCATCAACATTACCTTCCTGACAAATTTCAAGAATATCTGGAACAAACTGCAGCCACTAGAGTGTTAACAAGCTTTCTCTATTTTTAGCTCCTGTGACCTAGTTTTTGACTCGAGATAACCCATATTCGACCTCGATCTGTATTTCATGGCGACAAACATTCTGACAAAGTTTGACAATGATCTACTGCTAGACTGTTAACAACCCAATTGTTGACGACGAACGACGCACGACGCACTACGCACGACGACGGACGCCGGACATAGCCCCATCACTATACCTCACCTTGACCACTTCGTGGTCAGGTGAGCTAAAAATGGAAAATCACATTTGTAGTAGTTCATATTTTCTCTCGAATTATACATTGTACCACCGAAAAGAACTGGTAACAACATTACACGTGTATGGACCTTTGTATTAATTTCTTATCGATAAGGCAATGTTGTGTGTGTTTTTTTTTTTATCTTTTATTGCATTAAAAATCTTTGCCATTGTGTCCTCTCTTGTTTTAGCTTGGTGTTCTGCTGGACTCCGTTCCGGTGGTCATGTGAGGCTGATCTGTTTTTGGAGATACATGCATTTAATGCCGTTCTTCATTCTTGATCTTTGTTTTTCATTTTTTGTAATAATGCATTTGTTTATTTCACATTCCTACTTGGAAGAAAAATTCCGGTTTTAATTTTATTGCATTGATTTATATTTTAAACAAATGCCTTTTTTTCTGTAGCCCTGCGACATATAGTCATCGTTAAAATTTCGCATTTCCTGCATGAATGTACACCATTACTTTGATTATACTGTATACACATTTTTTTAAATATCTGTATTTGTATATATGATGTTAAAGTGCATATTGTTTCATTTTTAGGTGGAATCCAGTGTTTTGACTGCCGAGACATTCCACATCTAAAATATTGTGACAAAGTGACCAGGTGCTCAGGAAATGAGGTAAAACATATTTAAGCGTCAGTGTTGTATAAACTATACCACCGATCAAAATAGATGAAAATGAAACCTAAGAAGTGGCCAAACACGGGTAAAATACTACAAGTTCGTAGTAATTGAGCCTATTCATGGATGTAAGAGGTGAATGAAAATAAACGTTAACGTCTCTAGCATCGGTTTTGTACCCTTACCTAAATACCTGACTGCATCGGTAGCTGATTCGATCCTAGGGCTTGGATTAATACTTCCGTGACAATTGTTTTTGGACATCAAGTTTAATGTTTTTCTGTGTCAAAATAGAGTGAAATAAGAATGTCCCTAAAGAAAGCCCAACTCGGGAAAATTGAAAATGTTGCAGGCTCGGTTTGCTTGAGCCTGTTCATTGACGGTACTGGAAAGTGCAAGTTACCGTCCACGCCCCCTAGCACCGGCTTAAGCAGAATTCAACATTTAACATGACCTGGTAAAAATTTAGAATCAAGTTTCGTTCCAATGTATAAAACTGCATGCTACATTGGTAATACAAATTTTACCAATAAAATTAAACAAATTACAATCCTCGACATTACAATACATTTAGTAAGGTTAAATTTAATTGTATGGCTCATTCCAGATAACTAAAGATGATAAAAAATGAATGTTCTCGTGCATAAAATTCTTAAAGGTTTGCATGCATGTACTTTATTTTTGCAAGCTGTATACATTTACAGAACAAATGTTTATTTTAACACTGATTATGAGGACTATCTTCATCACAGGACTGCATTTTTATTACACTTAGGTTTGTTACGTTGAGAGCTACACCAAACCTCATGGGCAGAAAATGTACAGGTCTGGATGTATAGGCAAGGGGGTAGGTACATCTGTACAAATAAGTGTACAGTTTCATCTTGACGTATCAATAATCAAATACGTATATATTGATGATTAGCGTATGGTGTGTTAATAAGAAGGTACGTCTGAATATTAGGATATGGGTTAGGTGCATAATATTGTATTACTCAGTAAGAATATGCATCTTGGCCTATCAATAGGGAGGATTTTACATGTGACTAATTTAACGGTTGGTACATCTGGGTGTATACCTACATTGACACGTGTATCTAGGCGTATAAATATTATGGTAGCGTTGAAAAATCCTCAATTCTTGTTTTGCCCTGTAATAAGAATAAGGGCTTTTAGACAATTGCCTTCTTTAACACCACCTGATTTTGAAATATGTTGTTTGTAAAACTCTTTCTAATGTCAAATGTTTTTTTTTAAATTATGTAAGTGTGTTGACAGATTCTTTTGCATCTGTTGACAGGGATGCCAACCATTGAGTGGAACAAACGACTGCCTTCAGTGTTGTGAGTCTAGAGACTTTTGTAACATCGATGGCTGTGAAGAAGAAGGTTTCCTGTTTTTAAACTAATCAATGCTCTTTTCATTTCTTGGCTAAGATACATTTCAGAAGCCGAGTTCTTCGTTTTACATTAATGTCCGTAATATTTGGACAGCTTAATTCGAATGTATCTAGTTTGAAACCAGTTTTCCTAGTGACGACAATTCTCTTTTCTGCTCCTCTGTCTTGACAATTGTTAGAAAATATCATGCATATGTGCCATGATCATACTGTTATGTTTTTGAAATCTCAGTAACAATAATGTCTTTAAAAATAACCAAAATACAAATAACATCATGAATGATTGCATTAATTATTTAACAATGTAATCTAAATAATGGCCATACTCAAAACATACTTCGAATGTCACGACGACAATTGCAAGTGCATAACTTGAATACTGACCATTTTCCTAAATGTACTACAGAAATAACGATCATAAATGTACTACTACGATACTTTTTATACAATACTCATTCTTTGTTTTATATTTCAGCTCAAAGTTCAATAAGTTCTGGGATTCGTGGGCCGTATTGTTACGACTGTTCACATATCGGAGAGAATGAAAAATGCACATCCGTTCAAATGTGTCCCACCGACCAGGTAATATTTTATATATATCATTAAGCAAAATTACTGTAAAAAAGATAATTTCATGGGATATTATTCAAATTAATTCGAGATCTTATATAATGGTTGTATTATGTTACAAAAATTGTATTGATACATTGTTTACAACTAATATATAATTAAATAATGACATTTCAAGTCTTATGTAATACAACACAAAACCTTTTACTTTTTATCAGTTTTGAAAATTTTGAAAATATCATTAATGAATTAAAACCCCATTTACATTTTCTACAACCACCTAATAACATATATCAGTGTTATACGACTTCGGTATACAACATTAGTCTGACCAATGTTGATTTTGCTTGTTCACAATACAATCCATAAAATCATGCTTTTCTAAAATATTTTTTGTATTGGCCCATTTATCCTTAGCAACTTATTCATATTATATATAAAGTAAAACGTTTGCAAGTCTGCCTGGACACAAAATTAATTACTGTCAACCGGAATGTGGTGACATAACTATTGAACAAATGACATAATTACTGCAAGAACTTAACCTTTCAGGTGTGTATGATAGAGAAGTACGCCTGGGGAAACAATGACTTCAACTACGTTATGGGATGTATACGTCCACATGTAATTCGTTTTTCTTCTCAATCATAGCGTATATTTTAGATACTTTTGCAAGCTACCGTTAAGTTTAAGTAATAAATGACATCGCCAGTCTGTAACGTCAAAAACATACTGTCCCATAGAAACACCAACCATTTGTTAAGAGGTTGTACATGGTTCTATCTGCCAGAAGAATTACAAAATGCATATTTCTTTTAATTTGCATATTTCATGAATTGAGAAAAATTCTTCTCTTTCATCGACTCATCCACTACAAAATATATATTTTTGCAGAATCTTGCTGTTTTGCAGTTAATTTTAGCACTTTACGTAAGTATCTAGCATTTTCACTGCCTCATTTAATAATAATGTTTTCAGCTAACTTGACGTTCTATTCAATATCACATGTACGTGAACACTGTGCTATATTTTTTGCACCTCTGCTCACAGGTTTGCGAAGCAAAGAAACGCTCAGTGTTAGACCGGAAGTTGACAGCTCGCCACGCGCCAGTTTGTACACATTGCTGCCACACTGATTTCTGCAACCAAAATTGCACGCACCATTACAATCCAGGACTTATAGGTACATTTTTTTCGAGACATTACAAAGAGTTCAAACTTATACTTTAGAAATTTAAAAGGAAAATAAATGAATATTACCTTTTAAAGATCAAGATTCAGAAAGTAACCTTATCTTGTCTTTCTTGTACAATATCAAATTAGTTATTCAATGATTCCGAATTATTGTATCAAGATTTGAAATTATTTAATTTAATATGGTTATCTAAAGTTATTTTTACAGTATTTTAGTTTGTAACGTTTGATAGTACCTACTTTTAATAACTGTGTTTGTTTATTTTTGTAGGTTAACAGAGCATTTTGTTAAAGACTTCCGTCTGTCTTACTGTACGTAGTTGAGTATTGTATTAAATAAAATGTAACAAGAAAAGGGTTCGTGACCTGATATATTTTATAAGACAGTGACAGTGACAAAACATCTGCGGATATGAAAAACCTTAAAACCACCAAGTTTCTTTTGCCTTACAGAAACATTTTCTAGAAACACTTCGTTACGCTTATAAATCGTTTAGCAATTACATTTTTATATTGTTGCATTCGCATTGCTAAACCGTAAGACTTCTACAGTATTACAGGACGCCAAACAAATTTGCTTACATATTTTAAAAGGAGAGATTTGGTTCACCAAAGATAGTCATTTCACTGAGACTGTTGAAAAGTCACTTTGCTAGGTATCTAAAATCGAAACAACATCGTTTTCTTTCTATTCGTACAATTTTATTATTTTATGGGAATGTGGACGTAGTACGAATACAAGCTTGCATATCACAGTGAAGCTGAGGTTTTCACTTATTCATCGAGAGTTTTATTTTAAAAGCCAGCCAACATTGTATATGCCAGTCGACGTCTACCCAGATGCTATTAAAACTGCAGTCAAATACCATATTTAAATACTTTTGCACTCGGAAGATTATTTGAAGTAATCCTACAAAGAAGTTACATGATTTATATCGGTTGAAAACAAAGTGTCCCATACATTTACATGTATTTGATCTGAGCACACATGAGATTGCTGACTTTAAAAATATTATATTTTAAAATAATTCATTTATCATGTCTGTCATAGTGAATTTTTGGAAAAAGGCATTTATCAGTTTATATGTTGGCACTAAAGTTCTAGCAGTCTATATCAAAGCATTTGATGTATAGCTTTTTAATGAATATTTGAAAACCAAGAGACATTCGCAAAATTTATTTGACAAATACTATAAGTTACAAGTACAAATGTTGCTGAAATGCAGCAATTGAGAAGCTCCGCGCAAAAAAAGTGCTCATTACAGATACCTTGCCAAATTATTCCTACGCACAGGTCATGTTATATTCAGATTAGGTACTATTGTAGATTTTTTCCGAATGTTTTGTTAGCCATTTTTTGCATAGTTATATTTATCTTATGCACTGTCCATAATTAAAAAGAAGGGAACAATTTTTAATATAAAAATGCTTTCACTGATGCCTACCTGGTAAGGAAAGTAATTCCATTGAATACAAACAAGACTTGTAAATGTTTATTCTGACAATAGGAACGACTTGTTTGTAAAAGCTATTGAAATAGATAGTTGGTTTGAAAACTTAAGTGATGATGAACAGTTATACTTTATACTCTCAAATCAAAATATTGTTAAGTGTGCGGCAAAATCCTGTTATCAAATTCTTAACATTCGAAATAGATATATGTATCACAACACTTGAGACTCAGTAGATGATTTTAAACATTATAAAATAAATATTGTATATTAAATATAAGATAATATTTGTTTTGACAATACTTGTATATATCTTCAGACTTGCGGTGTCTCCAGATATATAGTAGTAAAATGTCGAAATAAATTAATTTTATACATGGGTAGGATTTTCTTAATAATAGTTAGGGTTTTTTTATCACATGATAAGACATGGTTGCTAATCTAGTTCTCATTTCTAATCTTATTAAAGTAAGGAAGTTTGGTTTTAGAGGGCTGATCATTACTTATGACAGAAATTTAAGTGTTTTACATGTCAGCTTGTTTTTAGATAAATTTTATGTTTGGATTAGCAACTGTGTCCTATTAATTTTTAACTGCCTAACTATATGGAAAATATTGATGTCTGGTTTATGTACAGTCATGGTGTGGGTGGAGCAACGAAGTGTCATCATAAGGTTAACACTTCGGTGTTCCACAAATGCTGCTTACTGCTTAGTGTATATACATGTAAAGTGTTCATTAATTGTATATGCAGTGGAGTTCCACTAATAAGACCACGATCATGCAAATTTAGGCAATATAAAGAACCAGAGTTTTTAAGTTATGGAGCTGAAGTGGCTCGCTGGTGACACCTTTCCGCTGTTGGGGCCATCGTTTTGTGTGGTCTTTTTGGTGGAACTTTACTGTATATGTAAACATATAGTCTCAGATAATTCTTTTTAGAATGACCATATTGTAATTGTAATTTTATATGTCTCTTCTAATTGTTAAATATGGATAAGACTCAAATAAAATAAATAAATATTTATATGTTATGTGACATGACTGTACTGTGTTCTGTTTGTGTCACTACTGTAGTCAGTAACAGAAGATAATAGAAATATCAAAGTCTGTTACAATTGTAACAAATATACAAATAGTAACAAAAGGGACTAATATTATAATATACATGTAGTAATATTACATGCATATTTTTCATGTCAAATTAAAAAAAATGGTTTCTTTCAATACTGAAAGTAGAACACACTCTGAGACCAAATTCAGGTTTTTTTTTGTTTGTTATACACGCATTACATGGTGATACAGTATTTATCAATATAATAAGAGACTGTTACCTGAATTTTAGGGAGGTATGAGGAAATTCACTAATATCATATTCGTGCGAGACAAAGATATGAAAGCTATTTGACATTGGTAATATATATAAAAAAACTACTGTTAATTAATTTTTAGGGAGATCAATATATATTTTTTGTTGAATTGCTTTAAAACCATTCATAAAATAAATTACACTTCATGTTCAAACTGCAGATCAAAGTTTCTGTTATTGTCATGATATCTATCTATAGCCTATGCTTAAGGTGATTCCGCTTTGTCAGCTATGTTTGTTTTCATTAAAGTCTGTCTAAAGTGAAAGTAGGCCAAAATTCATACATGTATAACAACAAAGCTCTTATTGTAAAATGATGAACCATTTGAAAGTACACTTCCAGGTTTATATTTTAAGGACAATTATAAACAAAAATAAAAATGATAACAATAAGAATATTTACCTTGAATGTGCTACATTTCTTAAGACCAAAAACATTCTGTTGCAAAGTTTTATGCACATTTCATGAATGGCAAAATCCTTTTTAAAGTCTGTTTTAGTGCCAACAAAAGCTATTTTTTGCAGCAAATACAAAAATCTTTCAAAACTTAACTCCAAATAAATCAGTATCCCATGTCCTTCTAAGCACATGGCCTCCATTATTTTTTGTAAAAAAGTAGTGCAAGAGAACAATCATCATTTATAGCCTTATGAACTACAATTAAAATGAAAACACAATCAAACTTTAAAATCTAACCTTTTTATGTGTAACAGTGAAGTGTGTCTGTCTGTCATGTACACAAGAAATAGGTAAATGATGTTTATTTTCATATGGTACTACTTTTTTACACATGTCATGGAGGCCATGTTTTTTCAAGGTCAGATAAACTACTTTCCTAAGATTTATGTTTTTTTAAAGTTTTTTTGTATTTTCTGCAAAAAATAGCATTTGTTTGCACTAAAATAGACTTTAAACTGGATTTTGCCATTCATGAAATGTGCATAAAACTTTGCAACAGAATGTTTTTGGTCTTCAGAAATGTAGCCCATTCAAGGTAAATTTCTTATTGTTATCATTTTTATTTTTGTTTAAAATAGTCTTTAAAACATAGAATTGGAAGTGTACTTGCAAATGGCTCATCATATAACAATGTGAGCTTTGTTGTTATATGAATTTTGGCCTACTTTCACTTTGGACAGACTTTGTGAAAACAAACATGGCTGAGAAAGCGGAAACACCTTATTGAAGGTCCATCCGCTCGTAAGGGTACAAAATGCAGCGAAAGCTGCCGAGTACGAATCCCCGCACATATTACCAATCATATCTCTAACTTATTTCTTTTTCACGAAGTGGTATGCTGTTCCAATGAAACGATTGAAATGTAACGTTATATACTAAAGTTTAATTATTTCAAAACAACCAATATATCAACATGTTATTATTAAACATTTAATTTCATTAATATAAATTAAGAATAATTATCAAAAGCAAAATCGTTAAAATCTTATGCCTGATATCTTCTTAATATTGAAAAATTCAACCACTAATAGTATACTTGATATGCTGTGTGTAAATGTATTGCAAAATGTAACAAATTATTATTTCATGTACTACTAAAAAAGGGAAATATCAAATTTATAACTGAAGTAACATTTATTGCTATTTATAGCTTTCGAATTTATGTAACAGCAGAACTGCTTTCCGGTTCTCATTCATTAATATGACATGCTGCGAATCACCGACGGGGAAACCAAATATAGAAATCGAAAGGAGTTCTTGAATGCAGATTTACTTTTAGCTGTTAATCGAAAGGATTTATTGCTCAAATCCGGGCCCATGGACAAAAAAAATAGTAAACACAAATAGCTCCGCGCCTGTGGGCGCGGAGCAATAACCTTCGTCCTGTGAAAGTTGCATTTGCCTTGTTCTTTTTGTTGTTATATAATCACTCCAGAATCATGCGCTGTTCAAACTATCAAGATAATAAAATCATTAAATAACACTGACAATGCTTGCAATTATGGTTGTATTCGATTGCAACAATTCTTTAATCATTCTCGATTAAGTACATTTTGTCTGCATATATTGCAGCATGAAATTAGATTTTATAAAAAAGATACTTAATACCCGATTAAGATATAGCTAGTATGATGGATTCTCCCTAGTCTAGGCATCGCCGAAAAATAAATAAGATAATAAGACAAACACAGTGCGCTCCCATCTCCTTGACACGGAGGAACTATTTTTTAAAGTGACTGTTGATTCGAGAATCATGTCTAAAAGGCATCTGCATCTACCGCTGATTCAATCTTTTTAGGGACTGGTAGTCGGTGCGGAGAAAATGATAAATTCTCGCAAGGAATGCAGGTGAGGTAGATTTATCTCGAGATAACCAAAAATGTTTAAACTTTGGTGTTTTTCAAATTAGATAAAACACCCAAATAATTTAAAGAATGCAATTTGCTTTGACACTTGCCAAAAGGCCAAATAGTGATAACGAAAATTGACATCAGATATGGTGTTATGCGTAATAAGTGTATTTAGTGGACCAGTCGTGCGAATTCCTGTTCCTCAAAGTAGGGATTAAATGTGATATATATTTGTCCTTAAGCACGTATCTAGCATGTCCGTTTGTTAATAACAAAACGGGTGTTCGAGTATTTAGTTTATATAGAAGTTATTTTCAGTTCGTGTAGAATCCGAATCCATTCTGAACTTAACAATGACTGAAAAGATTCTTGCTCAAGGAATTGTTGTAATCCAAGCGGCAAGCGATCCTTATATTGTGAGGCCGACGTGTAAAGCAATAGGTCATACCGCTGCACTATCGGCAATTGAACAAATATGTCTTTTGTTTACGGAAAATTTAACCACCTAGGCCTTCAACCTATATACGAAACAAAACTCCAAAACGGTGATAAATATTATATAAACGCCGCTCAGACCAAAGTAAATCAAAATAAAAATCTGGAGAAAGGGTAATCCCCCGGAAGCATAATTATAAATCACAACATAATAGCATGGAAGTTGCAGATTTGTGTTGTTTCACTTTGTCTGTACATAAGGGATATGAAAGAGTACAATATCCTTCTACGCCCCTTGCGCCGGCTTGAGCGGTACTCAATGTTCAAGTCTAAAAAGTGCTGGTATCAATGAACCTGGAGGACCAGATAAATACAATTACAATAAATACAATCATTTTGATTCAACTCAATTATTAAGTTAATAATTTAGATATTATCTTGCCACTTTATTTCTTCATATTCAATTTACTTAAATGAAACTGTTAACATTTACCAGAACAATGATTAAGTTTAGCAGTGAAAACAAAACCTGATAATAATGAACTTATGCCTGTCTATGGGAAACATTTTGTATTTCAAAATTTCTAAAGGTTAATTTAAATAAAGTACGTTATCACTGTCTTTGTAACAAAAACTGTCCCCAATAAGAGACCTGCGTAGTCATAGTGACAATGGTTTAGGACAATGAACTACTTAACAGTAAAAATATTCGTACGTAACAATCCATTTTAAACTATACGGAACGTATTATAAAATTTGTTTAAAATCAATGATCCAATTTTGTTAAAAATAATTTATAAGTGATGTTTTTTTGTTTCTGTTTGTCATGACAATAAATGTGGTAATAAAGTTAATAAAAAACAAACAACGAAACAATGCTTGATTATATCATTGCGTCAGGTACAACTCTCTGTGCTTTTTTCAGTACAGCCATGTGACGCACAAGGTAATATTAAGTTGATGCTTTAAACTGGCGTTTGCTTATACCGGTGCATGCGAGAGACTAGCAAACATCTGTCTAAAAATGAAAAATATTTTGAAAAAAAAAATCCGTGATAGTATGACAAAGTCATTTATATTTATATGTTCACATATATAAATTGTAATACGGTAAAAACCCTCAATTAAGACCACCATAGGGACTGGACCAAAGTGGTCTTAATTGCGGGGTGGTCTTAATTGTGAATATTCTTATCAATACTTACACACTATTTTACCATGGTCTACTTTAGTCATTTTGTATGAACAAACAATATATATACCTGCAAATACAACATAAAACTATGTTATAAATTAACAAAGAAATTTTAATATCAAATATGAAATTTGATATCTATTTTATCTGATTTCAATATCAATTTCAATATTAATTATTATATGATGTACATAGTTCACCCATCAAATAAAAAAATAGTTCTTCGCAAAATCAGTGTGCTTAAAGCAAGATTAAACCCCTCTAAAATTTTCTTTCTCACCTTATTTCATACAATATCCCAATGATAAACGGTGTTTTTGACACCCTGTGAAATTAGGTGTCATGCCTTAGAGCATTCAAGCTGATAATAACAGCAAATTTAAGATCTAGGTAGGTGTTGGGTCTCAATAGTGGGGTCAAATAAACAACAAAACAAAGAATTGGGACTGAATCTGGTGGTCTTAAAAGTGGATAAGCGAGGTGGACTTAATTCTGGATCATGTAACCATTGACATAATGTACAGAAAATTACGTACTTTTAAAAAAATGGTCTCAAAAGCGGGGTGGTCTAAATTCCGGGATGTCCTTAAGTAGGGATTCTACTGTAGATTGTTTTCCATTAAAGTATGAAAACAAAGATCAACAACGAAGGGTGGCATTTAATGAAAGTCCTGGTAATATTTTTAGCTTCGATGAGACAAATGACAGTTTACAGTTACATGTTACACTTACAGTTACGACAGACACAAAACCGCAAAACTTGACAACTTGATACAGAAATGCCAATTGTTTTCTTTATTGTTTCAGCTGTACTTGGCAGTTTTTTTTTTTGTTTATGGCCAAACATACAGGAATTGTACGAGTACATGTAGGTACCAAAATACCTCTAGATAGTATTTTAGATCGGAGCATGCACATGATATTTTTTTATGGACTGGTTCTAATGAAATAAGGCTTAAAATGCGATGCATAAGCTTTAATTTGATTGATACGCAAAAATGCCGTCAGCAATCATTTTCAAGACTGTGGAGCTCTCCAGTTATTTGAAAGTCAATGCGTAACATAAGCATTTTATAAAATAGAATTTGAGAACTTTTTCTCGGTTTCAATATTACTTAAACCCAGAATCGACGAGTGTACAGGCAAGAGACAATGTCATGAGTGCTTTAAATTTATATTTATTTGCACAATGACCAATGAAACAAATTTTGTCCTTTTTTTAGCTTCGACTGGAAAACACTTCATGATTGCGGTGCCGGAAAGTAGCACAAGACCAGATAAAATTGTTCTACATGTAACATCTTCGAACAAGACAAAATGCAACATTAAAGCACCAGATATACATATGGACCAAACCTTCACCTTCGATAATTACAAATGTATATCCAAGACAACATATCCTACAGAATAATGCACTCTACTTCTTCCTCGTCCTCCACGGCCAAGAAAGGAATAAAAATAGATTGTGACAACGCATGTGCAGTAACTGTTTTGCCACACCACTTAAATGATGCAGTGGAAGGCTGAGAATAAGATATTTTAAAAACATTTTGAATGAAAAAAATTTTTATTAGTGATAAAAAGTATTTATAAACAATAAGTGGGCGTGGTCATGTACATGTATACTATCCAAGCCACGCACCGATTGCCTGTGGTTAGAACGTTGTTAGTTTGTATCTTTGTCCATCTGCAAGAAAACAGAGGAAAGAGATACTTGAAGAATAATTATATTATTATTCAATATTATTCATACCACTGAAACAAAACTGTGTTATGACATACATTTTGATGCAAATCACGTTTCTCAATTACTATGATCTCTTTGCAACGGAAAATAGTGTCACTGATAAAAATCAAACATCGAATAAAGTTTTTTGATTTTATTATGCCAGTAAAATTTCAAATGTTGAAAGATACAAAATAATAGCACATTTATTCGCGTGTTTCTTTGAATCATGCAAGGAAATATCTATTCAACTATTAATATGTCTTTGAAATAACCTGCTTTAGTTTAAATATGGAGCGTGTTTTTGTAATATTTCCATTTCATGTAGTATATGTTATGATATAATAAATTGCGAAACACCGATGGCAAATTACTTGTTGATCATACAAGAAATTACATTATTTTAGGTGGTATACAGTGTTTTGACTGTCGAGATATTCCACATCTTAAATATTGTGACAAAGTGACTAGATGCTTAGGAAATGAGGTAAACATAATAATTTATTTTTAACATTTACAACAGTTTTGACTTCCCTTTGCCTCAAAAATAAAATATATCAATTAAGTGGGAGCCTTAAAACTAAGCCCGCCAAACAGGGCAACACATTGGAAACGTTGAAGGCTCACTAAGATTGAGCCTTTTTCATGCAGTTCAAAATCAAAAAGTCGTATTCACTCTCAACAATGTTATGATTTTCTTTTTTCAAAAGCTTCTTATATTTGGTGTCTAGTTACTTTTACAAAACGTTACTCATTTGTTGCTCACAAGAACCATAATTTATTTCTTTTGCGTTTAGACCATAAGTCAACACAATTGATTTAGACTAAGTATTTTGTATGGAAGTCAAAAAAACACTTTATACTTTTATAACAAATAATTTCACACTGGTATATATTAGCATGTCTCACAAGTTCTCAGCCCATTATTACAACATTAGAAAACATATGTTTGCTCTTTTTAAAGAAGGAATAATTCATTCATTTTTTAGACTTTAATGTCTCCATACACTTTATAGTTGCATGTAACACAAATGTTTTTAAAAAAGTTTATAATACCCTGATTTTGTCCTTACAAACACTTCAAGCCGTTTCTTAATCTCCATACAAGCGCTTTAAATAATTGTCTTTAAGTGTATCAGTACATATGACTACTAGTATATACATTTAAATTTCTTTCAAAACCAAGGTTTGTTACGTTGAGAGCTACACCAAACCTCATGGGCAGAAAATGTTCAGGTCTGGATGCATAGATAAGGGGGTAGGTACATCTGTAAAAAGGTAGGTACATCTGTATAAAAACATAGGTACATCTCTATAAAAGGTAGGTACATCTGTATAAAAAGGCAAATACATCTGTAAAAAAGGTAGGTAAATCTGTTTAAAATGGTTAGAACATCATCTGTATAAAATGGTAGATACATTTGTGTAAAAAGGTAGGTACATCTGTATAAAAAGGTAGGTACATCTGTATTAAAAGGTAGGCACATCTGGATCTATCAATATGGAGATATGTATATCTGCATGTATACCATCTGGGTGTATAAATAAGGAGGACGGTAACATAGAGGTTCATCTTGATGTGTAACATCTGGATGTATAAATAGGGAAGTAAGTACGTTTTGATGTATAAAGTACACGAAGGACGGTTCATTTGGTAGGTGTCTTTATATTGAGGTAAGTACATCAATAAGTAAGTAAGTAAGTACATCATGGTATAAGGAATGAGTCTCAATAGAATTCGCAAATTTGTTGATTTAATTTGTATCTATCATCTTTATTTATAAGGGTTCCTGTTGTTTGACAATTTCCGTTCTTTAACGTGACATTGTAACAAATAACTAAGTTTTGTGTTAGATGTTTTAAAGTGTCTGTACGCTGACAGAAAATTTGTTTTGCTTCTGTTGACAGGGATGCCAACCATTAAGCGGAACAAACGACTGCCTACAGTGTTGTGAGTCTAGAGACTTTTGTAACATGGATGGTTGTGAAAAAGAAGGTTGCCTGTTTTTACACTACTCAATTTTCAATATAAATGTTTTAAGAGAAAGGGGAATATAAAAATAATTTATTTATAAATTCCGCTGCATAAACATTAAATTTAGTGAATGTTCTGAACTACTTGCTAAATCTTAAAGAATACTTAGTTCACACTAGGGTCGAGTCAGCTTATTCCGTATAGTTTCGGATGCAGTTGCTTTTCGATGTTGACTAACTTAATATAAGGAATAGCATATAAAAACGTTTAGGACCGGTACCGGTTTTGCTTCGTTTAATATTTTTTTACTTTTTCAACCGATTTGTGGCGGAATCAGAATGTTTAAAAATATAACAAAATAATAGAATAAAAGAAATAAGCAAACTCAAAGTTAAAATTGACAGTATGTGTAGATATCTTGTTTGCTTAATAGCGAGTGTTGTTAAAACGGACGGTGAGTTAATGTGAGTTAACATTTTTCAGGTGTGTATGATAGAGAAATATGAATGGGGGAACAATGACTACAACTACGTTATGGAATGTATACGTCCACATGTGATTCTTTTTTGTCAAAATTTTATAATTTAGAGGTATTGTTATATGTATCATGAAATACAGGTATAGGTTAAAGGGTCAAACGTCTATCACGTCCAATATGAACACTCTGTATAAGAAATATATAGACTTTTTGAGAAATGCTTAACTTTCTGTAGGAACAAATTAGGAATGCTTCTTTAATTTTATGTAATTTCTAAGAAAAAGGTGTTATCTTCATTTAACTTTTAGTCCATTTTGTTGGGTGCTAAGAAAGCGTTTGTTGCAGACTTTATGTTAACTAATATATGCTTCGTATTTAGCCGACATATTACATTACATGTGAAATGAATATCACAATACAATTATCTTGCACTTATCTATGATAGCTGATTTGTGCAATGTCGTATTTCCGTTCCCCGGGGTTTCAGGTAAAAACATGAAAATACGACAAACCGACGACTTTGTTGTATTTTCGTGCGAAGGCGAAACACGAAAATACAACAAAGTCGCCTCTGTGTCGTATTTTTGCCTGGCGCCCCGCGGAGCGACAATATGAAAACATGAACATACAAAAAAGTCACGTGGGGCAAACGAATTCACAACATTACAACAATGTCTTTACTTTGTCATATACTGGTGTCTTCGCCATGCGCCCCACGGAGCGGAAGAACGATAAAATCGTCACGGACCGAAAATACGACATAGCACAACTTAGCCACCAAACTTATTTCACTGCACTATTTGATAATACAATAAAGCTTTCGAGATTCCTATTTATTTTATGTACGTTACGACTGAAATGTCATTTTCGTCTGCTCACAGGTTTGCGAGGTAAAGAAACGGTCAGTTTTAGACCGGAAGTTGACTCTTCGGCACGCGCCAGTGTGTACACATTGCTGCTCCACTGATTTCTGCAACCAAAATTGCACCCATCATTACAGTCCAGGACTTATAGGTAGGTTTTAACAAAACGCTTTAAAAACATGATAATTCGCTATAAATGTAGTTACTGTAATAAAAGGACGGAAATATACATGTCACCGGTAAGGGAACATGGACGGTACCTTACACTTATAAGTTATGTCCAGGCTCAATCAAACCGCGCCTGCAACACTTCCATCTTTTAACGTTTTACTTTTAACCATTTCTTTCTATTTTGAAAATGACCTAATCTATAAACTGATTTTCACGTTTTCTTTTTTAGAAATCTTCATTAAATATTTTATGGTTCCACATTATAATGTGTTTGTAAGTTTAAATGTACTTAATAGAGTTATACAAAAACAAATAATGAACTTTTGATTGATTTACCCTCTTAAAACTGCATTGTGTTATTATTTATATTACAGGTAAATAGAACATTTTGTAAGATGTCACCAGCATTTTGTCTTATTGAGTGGAATATATTGTGGTTATTAAACAAAATGTGAAAGGAATTCGTGAATTATCCGATATACTCCTTTTGTATATTCCACGAAATAACTTTCAACACATGATTCCTTTTGACTTATCTTTAAGTTAGCAGATATTTACATTTTTTCCATTTACGCTCTACTGCTTTATTGTGGCGAGAGGCAAAACAGTTTACTCACCTTAGACCATTTAGCCTAAAATGCTTGAAATGCATTTTTTACCTTTTTAAAGTCCCATTATGCCACAAAAATACTTATTTTTTTATTTCTTAAAAGCTTAAACATTTTTGTGTACTTCAACAGTATCCAAAAAGTTCCTATTGACCGTTTACCTGAATCATCTATTTCATCTGTAACGGTTCCTTTTTTGGGAATAAGTACAATAATAGTGAATAAATATTTTGTATGGAAGTCAAAATACTTTGTTTATTTTTTCCTACTTTTATGATAAATGATTTCACATTTCACATTCTTTCTTCACTTACCAAGCATCTAAAACCATTATTTAAACACTATAAAATTCATGTATGCCTTTTTTAAAGAAGTAAAAAATAATTTGTGTCGGAGGCGTAATGTGCCTTTGAACTAAAAGGCCCTTTTATCACGTGACTACATTCATTGTGTCAAACTTCGAACCACATTGCTATTGCAGATATAATGTCATTGTCAAGAACCACTACTCATCAAATTAAGTTTCCATTTACTAAATTCTAAATTACATCTCTTCAATTTTTAAAATCTGTTTTATTCTGCCTAATTATAAGCCGCTGCTAGGGTGCTTGAGCATTTGGGCAAAAGGCTGTGTATAATTTTTTCCGTGTTCAATGCTTTTTGACCAATGAGTGGACAACATATTTCAATCGATTCAAAAGAAAAGAATTATATTTAGATTTGATATTGTTAATTTAAAAATTATTTATATAGTTATTGTGTCCTCTTTTTACATTTTATATACATAATATATAATTAAAGATTTGGTCTTTTTTCATAATGAATAATAGCGAATCCAAGTACAGAAATGTCTGGAAAGGCCCAGTGTGTGTTGACTGGCCGTAGACATATTCCAGACTAGTCTATACATCGTTACATGTATAATCAATGTAGGCCTCATCAAATAAAATATTCATACTAAACTTGTATGTACTTCATAGGAACTTACTGTGAAACATAAAATTTGAATTTCTTACATAGATTAGCTGGGGCACTAACAGAAGAATATGCAGAAGATAATCAAGAAATATACTCAGAAATAAATTGAAAATCGTATTTGTGCTAGTTTTAGCCCGACTGGAGAGGAAAGGGTTTCAATGCTTTAATTTTGGGTCATTTTTCACAATAAAAATAATTCTTCTATATATAAGCGGAGTAAGCGAATGATCTGAAATTGTGCTTCTAGACTTACATCAAATGGATTATTAATCATCTCGAAATATTTTTTCCAGTCCCGTCATGTCAAAAAAACTTCAGTGGAGTCCCTCTTAAATTGATTTTCAGAATAGTTTACTGTCTTATTATCTATATTAAATAAACACATCAGTCATTTCTATTCTTCCTATCAATGTCTATAAAAATTATTTGATACTTTAATGGAATGCTAAATGCTACATACCTGATAGAAAGAAAACTATATTTTATAGTATAATTGTCAAAAAACCTATAGATTATATTGTCAAATAACCTATAATCTATATTGATATAAATATATTGATATATATAATTAAAGAGTGTCAAAATAACGCATATTTCTTTGTAACAAATACGAATATAATTTGTAATGACCTTATTTTATATAAACTGTCCTTTCTTATAATTATTGCTCATGTAAACTTTTAAATATATAGCATAATGCTAGTTCGCATGCTATCATCCTGGAAATGAATATCAACCGGTCACGAAAATTTTTACGCATTATTTTCCAGGGGCGAGTAATCTATATAGAATTAAGAACATGTTATGTTCTAGTTCTCTCCCCTGGACAATCTATGATGAATGGCTCTTGGAGTAATAATTCATACATTAAAATGTTGGTTCAGGATGATAAAAAATTGTTCAAAATATCTCAAATCTGATAGAATCCTCAGTTAATGAACACTAAGTCTATAAAATTGACCTGAAAATAAATCCTGTATTTATAGATGAAAATTGAAGTAACACGAATAAAGGCGTAGTGACGAAAATTAAAACGCATTATAATGCCAATTTAATACCATATTTATACTAATCAAATTGCCTGTTAACGCGAGAAAGGAAGAACAATATTGATCTGAAATTATTGCTCAAAATATAAACTCGTATAGAATAATATAATATACATTTACAATAACTATCATTCCATTTGCGCAGTAATAATGCAAACTATTTGTCATACACTAATGAAGACTTTTTGATATTTGTCCATCTAACGTGACTTTATTCGCGTTATTACGCCTTTTGATTCGAGTTCTAACGTATTTTTTTGTGTTATTACGCCTTTTAGTTCGCGTAAATCAATTTCAATTTAATGCCTTTCAATCCATGTCATAACCCCTATATTCGAGTGACTTCGCCTTTTTTGCGTTGCTTCGCCTTTTTCGCGTTATTACGCCTTTTGATTCGCGTAATTACGCCTTTATTCGCGTTATAACGCCTTTGCATTTTTATTCTTTATTTTATTTGACACAATTAGGCTTTCGTAAGGGAACCTTCAATTGAACACGTCAGTGGAATTTCGCGCCGTATAGTCCACAATTTAAATAATGCGTACGCCATAAACGACAAATATAATGGGAAATAAAAATTATGGCGTCCTGGTGATAATTTATAATGTTCTAAAAAGGATAAATCCTACGTAGCAGATAAAAAGTCCAAATAGAAGATTTAAATGCCTACGTAAGGCTTTATTAATAAAAAAGAAAAGGTGTTTTACGTACGACTTAATAGCTGAAAGCACAGAATGCGACGGACATGTATGCTGGAGCATAACTTACGATAGGATATTATATTTAAATAAATTCTAAATGTCAAATTATTATTTTGGCTTCGCCGATATACCGGTCCGGAAAGATGTCATTTCCAAAGCATTATATATGCATGCGATTGAATTTGAATATTTGAATTGTCCTAGTTTGTACAAAGTTGACTTATACAAAGTTGAACGTAGGAGTTATAAAGTCCTGCTTAGGAGTATTAAATTCATGATAAGGTTTTCTTATCTACTAGTATTACGTAAAAAATGATCTTTTTTTTAAATATAGAACATAGCATTATTTCAGGCACGAGCAGACACCTGAGTAGAACCACCGTCATAGCTGGAAAGGTTCCTCGCATAAAAAAAATCAAATATCCTGCCGAATTCAAACAAAAAGCAGTGATGAAAGACTGGTTTGAAGTTAACGACTAAACTACTAGAACATATCTTAAAGAAGGCAAATCGATTATGTTCACACTTATCCCCGGAAGGTCGACAATTTTGTCTCATTGAAATGCTTAAAGAATACATTTCCGTGTACATTTAAGAAACTTTATAAGTAGATTTTAAAGTTTTACTCTAAAACTTTTAGTCAGGCAACAATATGAGTTACTGGTAGGTATAACAGGGTGTATTAATTAACATATGGAATTGTGTTTATATTTCTGATAATTTTATGTTGGTTTCTCTTTTTTATATCATTGTTAAGTTTATTGTTTAATAATTCTCTTTATCACATACCCTAGCCGCTCTTGTGACTCCGTAAATAGATATTTTATTATTTATTTTTATGTTTTTAATTTTTATTATTCTTTTTTATTCTTATATACAATAAGTAGTTTTTATTGTGAATATGCGATAAATAGAATATAGAATATGAATATCATATTTGTGTAGATTCAATACTAAATTTATCAAACTGGTGAAATAAAAAAATATACAAGACTCCCACATT